CAAAAAATAGATATATGTTTGATTTCAGAAACCCACTTTACCGACAAGAGTTTTTTTAATATTTCAGATTTCAATGTTTATAGTACTAATCACCCTGATAATAGGGCGCATGGCGGAACAGCGGTGCTAGTTCACAAAAAACTTAAACAATTTGAACTACCTAAAACACAAAATAATTTTCTACAAGCTACCAGCGTAGTTTTAGAGGACGGGCATGATAGCTCTCTGACACTGTCGGCTGTTTATTGTCCCCCACCTCATGTTATCAATAAAGACCAGTTTAAAGAATTTTTCTCATCTCTTGGCTCAAAATTCATTGCAGGTGGAGACTATAACGCAAAACACACCCACTGGGGATCAAGACTAATAACTCCTAGAGGAAGAACGCTTTATAGCGCCATAACAGAAAATGGATTTGATTGTGTTTCGACAGGCCAACCTACTTATTGGCCAACGGACCAAAACAAAGTGCCAGATTTATTAGATTTTTGCGTACTAAAGGGCATTTCATTGAACTATATTGATGTAGAATCATCCCTTGATCTTTCTTCTGATCACTCTCCTGTTATCATAACATACAGTAAGATCATTTCTCTTAAAGAACAACCACCGTTCCTTTGCAATAAATTCACTGATTGGGATCACTTTAGAGACTTAATAAACAGTAATATTGACCTGAAAATTCCGTTAAAAACCCCAACAGATTTGGAGGAATCAATTAATTACTTCAATACCACTATACAAAAAGCAGGTTGGGAAGCCACTCCTAAAGCAAAAACCTCGGTGACAAAATCGATAAACTATCCTTTGTTTATAAAAAAACGAATTGCTGAGAAACGCAAGCTAAGACGGATTTGGCAGAATACTCGAAACCCAGCTGATAAAAATAGGTTTAATCATGCAGCTCAAACTTTAAAACGATGTTTAGTAAATCTAAAGAATGAACGGTTTTCTGACTTTACCAACAATTTATCTCCAACTGAAGCCACAGATTACTCCTTATGGAAATCCACGAGGTACGTAAAGCGCCCAGTACAACATGTTCCACCTATCAGGAAAAATGATGGAAATTGGGCCAAAACTAACATGGAGAAAGCAAGTATATTCTCAAATTACTTTTCAGAAGTATTCAAGCCCTTACTTCCCAATCCACCAAACGACGAGAGTGATATTTTTGAATATTTGGATTCACCTAATCAATTATCTTTGCCTATATCACCCTGTACACCGTCCGAAGTTCTAAAAGTAATACAAAAGGAAATAAACCCAAAGAAAAGTCCCGGATACGATTTAATCACTGGCAGGATTCTGAAAGAATTGCCACGAAAAGGAATATTATTGCTGACCTTCATATTTAACGCAATATTACGGCTAGAATATTTTCCAGTTCAATTGAAGATAGCTCAACTTGTGGTAATTCCAAAACCAGGCAAACCACCAAATGAGGTCTCGTCCTACAGACCCATAAGTTTGCTTCCTGTTGTATCCAAATTATTTGAAAAACTAATCCTAAGAAGATTGAACCCAATTATAGAAGACTTAAATTTGATTCCTGAGCATCAGTTTGGCTTCCGGAAAGGACACTCTACAGTTGAACAAACCCACAGACTAGTAGACATCATTAAAAATTCATTTGAAACAAAAAAGTACTGTTCTGCTGCATTTCTGGATGTACAACAGGCATTCGATAAAGTGTGGCACACTGGACTACTGTATAAACTTAAATCCTTGCTCCCCCATTCTTTTTACAGTTTGTTAAAATCTTACTTAAATGAACGATTCTTCCAGATTAAATTTCAAGAAATTTTAACCGACTTGAAGCCTATTCAATCTGGAGTACCCCAAGGCAGTGTTCTTGGACCTGTTTTATATCTACTATATACCTCCGACATCCCCGTGGGCCAAAATATTACGGTTGCTACGTTTGCGGATGATACTGCATTTCTCTCCATTCACGAAAATCCTCAAGATGCTTCAAATCAATTGCAAGTTACATTAAATGATTTCGAACTGTGGCTAAAAAAATGGAGAACTAAAGTTAATGAAACAAAATCTTTACATATAACATTCACGCTGAGACAAGAAAACTGCCCTCCAGTTACTTTGAACAATATAGCGTTGACAGAAGTGGACAGCGTTAAGTATTTAGGATTCCATATGGATAAACGATTAACTTGGAAAACACATATTTGGTGTAAAAGACAACAAATGGACTTGAAGGTTCGTAAACTCAACTGGCTTCTAGGCAAAAAATCTAAGCTTTCGTTGACCAATAAACTCACACTTTACAAAGTTATGATCAAACCTATTTGGACGTACGGGATACAGCTTTGGGGAACGGCAAGTAAATCCAACTTAGCAATTATTCAAAGATTTCAGTCAAAGGCGCTACGAAGAATAGTTGATGCTCCGTGGTTTGTTTCGAATCGAACAATCCATGAAGATTTCAGAATACCTACAGTAATTGAAGAAATAACAAGAATTAGCAAGAACTATCAAGAAAAACTCGAAACCCACCCGAACAATATAGCCGTTAATTTGCTGGACAATAGTGATTTTCCCAACAGACTGAAAATTGTGAAAGTTCTAGAACTCCCATACCGATTTGTATAGTTTTAGTTATGACATGACTATTTAATTTTGCAAGATCTTTCACAGGGAAGATTCTTGGTCAAGACACTTATTTATATTATCCCTTTTACTAATTGTTCAAAGTATTGAACAGATTGTAAAATAAAATTAAGTTAAAAAAAAAAAAAAGTGTACTTAAGTGGTGCCCTATCTTAATTTTCTCAGACGTATTTGCACATCTACGTGAAAATACCTTTGATTTGACACCTCAAACTTTAAAATCCATCAAGCCGTTATTGAGTTATGACTGTGAAAAGAAAACTGCTTGCGTATTAATATATAGAAGATAAGAATCACTGCAACAGCTGATCGTAGTCGAAGTATCTCGAAGCGTACACGAATTACGTGCTTAATAAAACCACTCTGTTTTCTATTGTTTGGGTGGATTGCTGGTGTGGGACAAAAAAAAGCGTGCGGCAAAAGAAAGTAAATGCCGCAAATAGCAACTTTCTGTACTATGATCAATGCAAGGAAGTCTACTTTGTCAGGTGACTGTAGGAAATAGTTATTTGTGTAACTAGTGGTGAAAGTGGCACTTTGCTGCACACGAGAGCAATGTTTACTATTTAATATTTTTCCTACAGTCACTATAAAACATAAATAATTAGTCTTTCAAACACTATACAACACGTTTTTAGGTTCAGCTAGCAACACAATTACACAAATGGTGCCCTGGAGAAAGTAGTACCCGTGGTCCGTATCACTCCGCTATTTTTCCTCGGCAAGAAATGTGCTCCGTCTTTTGAGAATATAGTTCCGTATGTTTTTGTAATTTGAAGTGGTTTCCGCGCCTAAAAAAAAAAATGCTTTAAAGGTATTTTCTTGTTTATTAAGACCGTAGGAATGTTTTAAAAACGTTTAAAAGAAAAGTCCACAAAAAGTTCAGAAATACCAAAACTATAAACACGAAATGACAGGTTAAATCGTAGTTATAATAGTCAATCAGCTGTTCATAGTATTATTATCTTTAAGTGTTGCCAACCTATTTCCAAGCGTACACGGATTACGTGCATAATAAAACCACGCTGTTTTGTGTTGTTTGGTTGGAATCCTGATGTGCGGCAAAGTATAAACCGTGCGGCAAAGTATAAACCGTACGGCAAAGTATAAATATGCAGCAATTAGCAGCTTTCTGTACTATAAACAGTACAGGGAAGCCAACTTTTTCGGGTGACTGTAGGAACAATTTGCTGCCATTTTGTTAATAGTGGTTCGATTTATTTTTTATTTATGTTTATTTTTTATTTATTTCTTTAGTTTTGTCAAGAACTATAAAATGACATGAAAGTCGACTATACTTCCCATTTTAACATGTTGAGCTATCCCCTAACCCAACTACCCTAAGGGCAAAATTTTCACAATTAACCATCATTATTGTACCCCTTCATATCTAAGAAGGTTGTGGCAAACTGATTTTAAATATCTCAAATAATTAAAAAAGTTAAGGGGATGCAAGTTACTTTTTGACACCCTCATTGTTAATAATTGTATTTGAATCGTTTTAGGGCACTAATTTGTTATTAATGGTCCAATTTGTGTTTTCTTTATGTAAATTGTTTAGTTTCGTCAAGACCTGTAAAATGATACCTAAATCGACCATACTTTTCGATCAAAATCTTCGAGCTAACCCCTAACTCCACTCCCAACATTTTCATAATCAACCATTATTATTGTAGCCCCTCATATCTAAGAATCTTTTTTTTTATAGATATTTCTTTACAATTAATAAAATAAGCTACCTGTAGCAGGAAAATTGAATAGAGGAGAAAAATTGAAGAGAAATGAGAATTGACACTAAAATTGAAGAATTAGGGTAAATTAACAGTTTTGACATACCTATTAACAAACTCAAGTAATTTATTTTATTGCTACGGTATATCTTCTGGATCTATTGACTTCACAATGAGTAGAGTTTTTAAAGTAAGTATGTCTACAGTTTTGTATAACTTTATCTTGTCAAATTGAATCAAAGATAAGTATTTTTAAACACGCATCAGCACCACATGTACAATACTTGGTTGCCTTATCTCAATTTAAAGAAAATAAGTGTTTTGGGTGTACAACAAATAACGTGTATCATACAGCATGCACATACTCTACATACTAAGTACATACTGTACATACCGAGTATATGCTGTATCATAATACAGCAGATCTAAAGAACAGCATTCTCTCTTTCGCGTACCTCAGTATCACCCCACTAGCCGCTCGACTTTAGCCTTCAACTTGAGTTGATATTGTAACACATAGTTTATCCCCAACTACTGTATGTGTTTGTGTGTGTGTGTGTAGTAGGTAGGGGAGGGGATGCTACGGTATAAGACTACTTAGCTCTGCCCCTGACCTTGTCTGCTATCACTACCTCGCCGGTGTAGGCCTATAGTATAGGTAGACAGTGGTGTGGTAGTAGACAGTAGTGTTGAGGCCGACACACACACAACATGATCAGCGCCGTGCTGATGCTGGTGACATCACTGGTGCTGACCAACCCTGCTGCTGCTAACTCCCGCGCCATGGAGAAAATGAACACTGTGAGTACTATATTCTCTTAATTAATTGTATCGATTATTTAAACAAATGATTAAGCTCTAACTTAATCACAGGTGTATTTGTTGGTTAAAACATTACAATATGAATATAATTTACATAACTATTTTAGGCGATGCTTGTCCATATTGTCTTAAATCATAAAGCACTCATATAATACACAATTTTCCCCATGTATTGAAATTTTAAGAATTTCCCCTTAAACTTAGCTAAGATTTTCCACAATTTTAAATTTCACCTTTTAAGTGAGACACTGCCAGTCTACTTTTAGAAATTTTAAGCGCTGGAAAACTGTGTTAAGCCAACTCAAACCATTTATATATTTTTAAATTTAGTTTACCATAGAGTGATAAATATAAAATACACTTAATATACAGCCTTCAAAATGTAGTGTCACTTGATGGGACTTGACATTTAACACTAATGAGCTGCCCCAAAAATACCCCATTATGGGGTTCCGGACAAAGTTTATTTTTATGCCATAGACGTGTGCATCGTTAGGGTATTCTGGCCTAACCCATTAGGGCCTAAAAGGTTAATATGGGGTGTCCATACTGTTCCCTAACCCTGTATACATCCATAAATAAAGTATTTGGTGTCAATTACAGTGCTGGTGAAGAACGTGTAAATAATAAATGAAATCCCTGAAATTCATATTTTACAGCGACGTCCCCACTACAGTTTGCGTAAACTAAATTAATGAATGAAAATATTCAAGTGGAAAATGTTTGACTCGATTCGACTATAAATGATATTTGACAGAGCAATATACAATGTCTAGAACTTAGATTGCGAATAAGACTGGTGTAACTACACCGTTTGAACCGTTCCCTAAAACCACGTACACAGCAAATAACACAGACGTGGGAAAACGCCCCAAAAAGACTAAAAAATTATGTGTGTAAAATATTTTAGTCACCAAGCGATAAAATTTGATACCGAGATAAGACCTTTACTTCTTAAGAAGTTGGACGTTACCATATTGTCTACATTCACTATACTCCGATTATTTGCCAAATAAAAATATAGTCAAATCAGCTGGTCCATATCAATAAATAATCAACAAGTATGGTCTTTTAACACCTCTGAGATCAACATGGCATTGTTTACAAAGGCAAATCGTTTTACTGCACTGATTGCAAGCGTGGAAATGCATTACCATTTTAAATGTGATTAACACATCAATAAGTAAATTCACATTCGTTGCAATAGCCAGTCATTTTTCCTCGTTCCTGGAAGTATTGCGTGCAATAGTTAAGAGCAAATGACTTTTGACACGACACATATGTGCAACAATTTCGAATTAGCTATATACAATTCAGTGATTTAAAAAGGGTTTTGAATTTTTACAAACAGATCGATTTAAAATTTAATCAGTTAATCAAAACCAAAAATCTACACAATGACTTAGATGGCACATATTTTAATGAATAAAAAATAAAAATAAAAAAAGGTAGGGAAGAACTGATAAGATCTCAGAACTTTTACTTTTTAATAGGTTAGGTTAGGTTAGGTTGGGTTAGGTTAGGTTAGCATTTTTGTTTGGTTTCATATATCCCAGGATTTAAAACGTTTGACATTAATTTGTGAGCAGAACTAAACCGAGACAGCTTGCCCATATGACTTTTCTTATTCCTCATAGAATTTTAGGTTTCGAGTAGAAATAATATCGCAAGTGTAGTTAATCCTCTGTTAATCTTATTTTTGGAACGACGATCATAAAATCTTTGATGAGGCACTGATGTAAAAATGACTTCCTTATAAATCATATAAAAACTTAAGAGTAGCAATTTTTTTTTAAATCTTTACAAAAACAAGAGAAAGTAAACCAAGGGCTTACTACCTGACAATTGCCATCTACAAAACTGTGAATTATTTCCATACTTATCATTTGCGCATTAGATAAGGTGCCTAATTTATGTAGTTTGAAGTTTCTTTTGTCCAAGGAAACATAAAAAAGATTTTAAAGGCAGTGCTAGTATTTCTATAAAGTATATTTCTAAACAATACTTGTGCAATTCGTCATATTATAGTGTTGACAAAACTATAAAACTCCCGTTCATGCCACATTTCACCAAAATCGAACCAAAATTTCTCGTGTTATCGTGTTCACTGACACACACGTATACATATATAACAATTTGAACGAATTGTGATTATGACCTCTGGGTACATCAAAGCGAAAAAGTGAATTGGTCCTGGGTCTATGTTTTACCGTGCTACCTACGGTAACAACTACTCCCTATATGGGATATTCGCTAAAATAGTATAAAATAAAAATAAGAAATTTACAATAAATATATCCAAATCTAAAAGATATTTAGTCGTACAATATGTATGCCATACTGTCCAGGAATAGTATATTTCACTACTAGTCACCAAGTGACCCATTTCGGGGCGAGATAGTGTTTTACACGCGAGTCAGAGACGAGTATGGGAAACACTATCTCGCCCCGAAATGGGACTTTCGGGACGAGTATTTAACGATACTTTTTATCACGATGAAAAAAACTACTTCATCAAACAAATTATCTGATATTTCGTAATCTATTGATTTTTCTAATCTAAACACAATACGGCTGTGCAATCTATATATAAAGGCAAAAGTACCCATGAACTTTTAAGAAAACTACAAGTCACACCCCCATAAACCATATACTTAAAATGTTCGTCATGACGATAAACCTTGCGCAAAAATTATCCATTTTTTCATAAATTGCCCTTTAAGGTCTTAGTTGCTTTCCAAAGGGAACTTTCCATATACTTAATGTTAAAAATACCCCAGCTGTTCTTATTTGTATGTTATTCTTTCAATTATTTATTACCTTATTAAAATCTGGTGTGATTATTTGTTTGTAATGCTGTATTCTATTTTGTTTATTTCATCTTAACTTAAAACCAATCAATAGTTGTTTATAATACTTTGAAGTCAAACGGGTTGAAGCCCGTGGGTAACAGCTAGTTAATTTTAGTGTAAAATTCAGCTGATTGTAACTTTGTTGTAAGGCAAGTATTGTTTGTGTAGCGAAATTAATGTTTATGTAGCGAAAGTAATGTTTATGTCAGGAAAAGTCAGCTGGTCACTATTTGTTTTTGGTGTATGGAACTTGAAGATTTTCGAAGATCTTAGCTGTATGGAAATGGGCTATTTTCGAATACAGTGTGATAATAAAGAAATAACAGTAGAGCGACATATAATTTTAAAAATTAATATATTTATATCTTGGTTGAAAAATAACTGATATTCCCTGATAACATTTTATAGATTTATTCCATGTATAATATCCCATAATACGTAAAAATTAGTCGCGGGATAGGTTGGGTTACTAGATTTCGTTATAGTTCCACATGTGTTGGCGTTTATCCAAAGCCATAGGTTTATGTTTTCTTTCAAGGCCTTTGTATTCACCGTAATTGCTCTTATGTTTATATTAAAGTATGATTTTTATCACACTCGTACATGCTCTACCCTAGTTTTCATCAAGCAACTAGATATTCGCTTGGTCGGAGCCTAGAATAAAGAATAGCCAATTATAGTGACTCTACCTATTTTGTATTCCGCAGTCAGAGGAACTGCGGCGGGGGCGTTCAAAATTTAAGACATATGACGTCATTTATTCGAAGATCTACGATGATTTAGGCAGGGTTGTTCTCAAGGATACGTAATGACCATTACGTCGTTATAAGAGAGAGGAATACGTACGGAATACGTACATTATATCTTGTCCTCGCCCTTGAACGTGAACTACAACCTTGCTAGAGACTGGGCCATCTCTGACCAGTAGCCTAAAGACTGAAGTTTTACAACACGTTTACGTTTTAGCGGATTTCCCTATAGGGAAGTAACTATTACCGTAGGTAGCACGGTAAGACCAAAATCCGGGAGCAATATACTTTTTCATTTTGATGTCCCTAGAGGCCAAAAACACTATTCGTTCAAATGTTTATATATGTACGTATATACGTCCATCAACGCGATAACTTGAGTAATTTTTGTTCGAATTCAATAAAATTTTGCTTAAAGGTACAAGTATTGTTTGTGTAGCGAAATTAATGTTTATGTAGCGAAAGTAATGTTTATGTCAGGTTAATGTTTAAAGGTGTGGGGTGGGATAAACTTGAATGAGTTCGCGAACCAGCATGATCGGACTATGGGAAGGGGGTTATGGGGGGTTTTATGGGGTAAAATGGGTTTTCTCATTTCTTTACCTTCAAAACATAAAATGTCCCAATTTCCTTTTATACAGCTTAAACAATTTGTATATTGAAGTGTTTTTTTACGGTTATCGGTTACGGAGAAAATAAAATAACAGTTTCCTTATTTTCTGTAAGACTAAGATAAAAATTTTAAATTAAAAAAATGTCATTAATTAATAACCGTACAAAAAACACTTCAATACACAATGAGAAAAAACCATTTTTACCCCATAAAACCCCGTTCCCATATCAAGGTGGTCCATTGCGTTTACAAAAGTGGCAATTAGCCACATACCTATGCACTTGCAACAACGTTTCAACAAAGCTGCATGGCGAGAAGTGAATTGTATCCTCATTGATTCTTTTAAGGAATTCCTCCAATAACAAATTTAAAAAATGTAATATACGGAGAGATTAATTTTAAATGAACTGTCACTTAAAAATGAAACATAACCACCAAGAGCAAACAGGGCATGTGTGTGTGTTTTTTTTTTAGGTTTTTATACTACCATTTGCTGTGAAGACAAATAAGTGTCAAACAATATCTATCTTTTATGCTTCGAATAATAATTTAGGAGGTTTTTTATCTACGAAGAAAAGCTTCTTAAGATTCATTTTAGCAAATTATCAAGTTAGCTATGATAACCGTGGTACAAATATCGAAATCTCACAAGTTATTGACGAGGCGTCGCTAACGACAGATGTAAACGTTCAGGATCTCCAGATGATGTCAACAATTATGTAAGCTCAGAGGAAACTAGACTCTCTTCCTATCCGTGTAAGTCCA